GCCCCAGAGGGAGTGTGGTGGAGGCTCCTCCTTTGGAGGCTTTGAAGCAGAGGCTGGATAGCCATCTGTTGGGGGTGCTGTGTTCCCAGAGAAATAGATGGAAGGATCCAAGATATTGTAATAATGTAATATAATATTGGCGGCAAAAAAAGCCAATGGGATTTTGCCCTGCATCAATAGGAGCATAGTGACTAGATTTAGGGAAGTCATGCTCCACATGCTTTATTCCGCTTTGGTTAGACCACACCTGGAATATTGTGTCCAGTTCTGGGCTCTTCAGTTGAAGGGAGATGTTGACAAGCTGGAAAGTGTCCAAAGGAGGGCGACTAAAATGATCAAGGGTCTGGAGAACAAGCCCTATGAGGAGCGGCTTAAGGAGCTGAGCATGCTTAGCCTGAAGAAGAGAAGGATGAGAGGAGATATGAGAGCCATGTATAAATACGTGAGAGGAAGCCACAGGGAGGAGGGAGCAAGCTTCCTTTCTGCTTCCCTGGAGACTAGGATGCAATGGAACAATGGCTTCAAACTACAAGAGAGGAGATTCCACCTGAACACGAGGAAGAACTTCCTGATTGTGAGAGCTGTTCAGCAGTGGAACTCTCTGCCCCGGAGTGTGGTGGAAGCTCCTTTCTTTGGAAGCTTTGAAACAGAGGCTGGATGGCCATCTGTCAGGGGTGCTTTGAATGCAATATTCCTGCTTCTTGGCAGAATGGGGTTGGACTGGATGACCCACGAGGTCTCTTCCAACTTTATGATTCTGTGATTCTCTGTGCAAGAATTGATTGAAAAAATCCATTTTATGTTAGGAAGGCAATGTATTTTGATCTGGAGAGGTTCAAAAAATGGGATTCTTTTGTTATTGAGTAGGGCATGCTGTGTTACCAGAGAAATAGATGGAAGGATCCAAGGTATTGTAATAATATAATATAATATAAAATATAATATAATATAATATAATATAATATAATATAATATAATATAATATATTGTCGAATGCTTTCCTGGCTGGAATCACTGGGTTGTTGTAGGTTTTTTCGGGCTATATGGCCATGTTCTAGAGGCATTCTCTCCTGACGTTTCGCCTGCATCTATGGCAAGCATCCTCAGAGGTAGTCACTACCTCTGAGGATGCTTGCCATAGATGCAGGCGAAACGTCAGGAGAGAATGCCTCTAGACCATGGCCATATAGCCCGAAAAAACCCCTACAATAACCCATAATATATAATATATTGTATATACATATAATATTTATACTATTATAATGTAATGCAATATAATACTAATAATGATAATAGTAATAATATGATGTTATAATTATATATTGATATTACATGTAATATTACTAATAATATTACAGTATAATTGATATAGTACAATAAAGCAATATTTAAAACTGATATTGTACTTGCTAATAATATATTGTATGTATATATACCTTCTAAGCCTCTCTGAGTCCCCTTCGGGGTGAGAAGGGCGGCATAGAAATGTCGTAAATATATAAATAAAATAAATTGTTGCAAGCATCCATTGATGCCTTTCCTGTTCAGCATTGAGCATGTTCACAGACAATACTGATAGTATTTTGAAGCATGAGGATGTCGTCAGAATGGCTGCATTTCCATTGCAGAATGGATGCAAGATTGCCATGGCTCGGTGCTATGGAATCCTGGGAGTTGTAGTTTGGCGAGGCACCAGCACTCTTTACAATAAATAATAATAATAATAAAACGTTATTTATGTACTGTTCCATCTCCCCGTGGGGACTCAGAGCGGTTCCCAGGGAACATCACAAAACATGCAAAGTAAAAAACAGCATAACCATAAGATTAACAAAACAACAATATAAGCATAAAAATGGTCGCCGTAAAACACATATATTAAAAGTAATCCTGCCTGTTCAAGGCAATGTAAAAATTTTGAAGGCCGGGCCAAGATTTGTGCAAGCCCCAAAATTCTAGGGGGCCCGGGAATGAAGTGCAATGCTATGGCAGGCAACAATAATATTAGTTACGGGTCTGTGGCTGATCATTCCGGGGCCGATAAGAGGAAATGATCTGGGTAATTGGTAGGAAGAAGAAGGCCGCATTCGACAATGTGTAAGACTGAGTTAGAACTCGTCATTTTCAAAGGCCTGTTGAGACCACCAGGTCTTCAAGCTCTTACGAAAGGAGAATGCCCGCCTCTGGAAGGGCATTCCAGAGGCGGGGGGCCACCACTGAGAAGGCCCTCTCTCTCGTCCCCACCAACCACGCTTGAGACAGTAGTGGGAATGAGAGGAGGGCCTCCCCAGAAGATCTTAGAGCTCATGCTAAGGAAGGCAAAAGACTTTGTAATATTACGGCTCCCAGGATTGGATAGCATCCAGCAATTGCCATGAAAGTGGTGTCGAACTGCATTAATGATGCCGTGTGGATGCCCCCAATCCCCTCTGAATAGATCTTGCCAGGAAAACTCTGTGAAATGTTCACCTTGGTCAGAATTGTCTTGAAGGCACCCAACACGAACAGTATTTTTATTTATTGTGTCAGGGACAACCAGACCATTGTATTACATTTCTAACAGAACAAAACAAACAAACAGACAAAACACAAAGTTTGCAAGCTTGGTAGTTGATTAAATGTCCTTTGCCCAGTATCTGGCCCCTTGGAGTGCCTCTGGTGTTGTCTCAAGGAGGTCCTCCATGGTGCATCATGTGGCAGGGCTCAGGGTGCATTGCAGCAGGTGGTCAGCGGTTGGCTCTTCTCCACACTCGCATGTCATGGAATCCACTTTGTGGCCCCATTTCTGAAGGTTGGCTCTGCATCTCGTGGTGCCAGAGCGCAGTCTGTTCAGCGCCTTCCAAGTCGCCCAGTCCTCTGTGTGCCCAGGGGGGAATTTCTCATTTGGTATCAGCCATTGGTTGAGGTTCTGGGTTTGGGCCTGCCACTTTTGGACTCTCGCTTGCTGAGGTGTTCCAGCGAGTGTCTCTGTAGATCTTAGAAAACTATTTCTTGATTTAAGTCATTGACGTGCTGGCTGAGACCCAAACAGGGGATGAGCTGGAGATGTCTCTGCCTTGGTCCTTGGCTGCTCCTTCCTGGCGGATGTCAGGTGGTGCAATACCGGCTAAGCAGTGTAATTTCTCCCGTGGTGTAGGGCGCAGACACCCCGTGATAATGTGGCATGTCTCATTAAGAGCCACACCCACTGTTTTAGTGTGGTGAGATGTGTTCCACACTGGGCATGCATACTCAGCAGCAGAGTAGCATAGCGCAAGGGCAGATGTCTTCACTGTGTCTGGTTGTGATCCCCAGGTTGTGCCAGTCAGCTTTCGTATGATATTATTTCTAGCGCCCACGTTTTGCTTGATATTCAGGCAGTGCTTCTTGTAGGTCAGAGCACGGTCCAGAGTGACTCCCAGGTATTTGGGTGCGCTGCAATGCTCCAGTGGGATTCCTTCCCAGGTCATCATCTTCAGAGCTCGGGATGCTTCTCTGTTCTTAAGGTGGAAAGCACATGTCTGTGTTTCAGATAGATTAAGGATCAGCTGATCTTCCCTGTAATAGGCAGTAAGGGCACCTAGAGCTTCTGTTCTACCATCTCAAAGCTCCCTGCTTGAGCAGTAATGGCACGATCATCAGCATATGAACACATTATGTGCTCACTGATGAACACAAACAATGAGGGGAAGCAAGAACGTAGAGGAAAGGTTTGTAGGATCAGGAGGTTAGTTTTTGGGAGACCTTTGTTAACTACAACGGGGATACGGAGAGCAGGAGAGAGGTTAAAATAAAAGTTGAACCATACTGGAATTCTGTAGGCAAAACAATGGAATTCACTCAGAAATGAGAAAAGTAATTTTTCCATTGTGTTGTTGTAGGTTTTTCGGGCTATATGGCCATGTTCCAGAGGCATATCCTGACGTTTCGCCTGCATCTGTGGCAGGCATCCTCAGAGGTTGTGAGGCGTGTTGGGAACTAGGAAAATCGGGTTTATGTATCTGCAGAATGATGTCCAGGGTGGGATAAAGAACTGTCTGATTATAATCGCTTTTCCTAGTTTCCAACAGACCTCACAACCTCTGAGGATGCTTGCCACAGATGCAGGCGAAGCGTCAGTAGGGAATGCTTCTGGAACATTGCCAGACAGCCCGAAAAACCTACAACAACTCAGCCAGGAAGCATTTTTAAATTCCTGATTCCTGTTGGTTATGTTTCACATGGAGTTAAAATGGGAGCTAATAAGGAAAGTGTCACAGATGCATTGTCGAAGGCTCGCATGGCTGGAATCACTGGGTTGTTGTGTGTTGGCCAGGCTATATGGCCATGTTCCAGAAGCATTCTCTCCTGATGTTCCGCCTGCATCTATGGCAAGCATCCTCAGAGGTAGTGATCTCACTACCTCTGAGGATGCTTGCCATGGATGCAGGCGAAACGTCAGGAGATAATGCCTCTAGAACATGGCCATATAGCCCGAAAAAACCTACAACAACCCTGTCACAGATGCATCGTCAAAGGCTTGCATGGCCGGAATCACTGAGTTGTTGTGTGTTGGCCGGGCTGTATGGCCATGTTCCAGAAGCATTCTCTCCTGACGTTCCGCCTGCATCTATGGCAGGCATCCTCAGAGGTTGTGAGGCCATACAGCCCGGCAAACACACAACAGCCCTGTCACAGATGCGTTCTCTAAAGCGTTCGTATTTAAAATTAGAGTACCAGGCAAATCAGGTTTGGGATCCAGCTTTTTTTGTTTGTTTTCCTTTTTTTTCTGTTTTCACTCTTCTATAAATAATGAGGCATGGATACCATCTTGCTCAACATAACAACCTCTCCGTAGACGTAGAAACCTTTTTCTCTCACCTTTTCTTTCTCTTCATCACATCCCTTTTCTTTTTTGATAAGTAGAAAAAAAATATGCATAAGTAGGTGTTTTGGTTGAGTTTTATTTTTTATTTTTTTTCTCCTTATGGAATCATGGGTAGTTTCATTGCAACTCATTTCTTTCTGTTTGTTTCGTATAGGGCTGATAGTGCAGGATCATTCAGACCCCCTGTTCAGTTCATATGCCAATAAGTCCCACTACCTACTGAATGAATCAAATCGTGCTGAGTTGATGAAATTACCTATGATTCCTCCTTCTTCGTCAGCTTCCAAAAAGAAATGTGAGAAAGGTAACCAAAATAGCTTCTTTCTCTCTCTCTATTTTTTTTTATTTTTCTTTCACTTTTCCTGCTTTGGCTTTCTTTCCTTTTTGGTTTGCTTTTTCAAATATATATATATTAAGCTCTGTATGCTCATCTCGCACCTCCTTGTTGCGCTTCGTAAGCTTCACCCATTGCTTTTTTTTTCTCGTGAGTGTATATTCATGTTGGCAAATATATATATATATATATATTGCAAAAGGGCTTAAAATAATTGCTAAATGCCACTCAAGTCTTTAGTCATAGCTTCTCAAGACTCATAGAGATTCCTAGCTTGTGAGGTGCAACTCCTTCTGCATAGAACATGTTGTGTCTCAGTGTTGCATCTGTCTATATAAATAAAAATGTAATGTTCGTTGGGTTAACAGAACTCAAAAACCACTGGGGGAATTGACACCAAATTTGGGCAGCGTACACCTAACAATCCAATGTATGTCCTTCACTCAAAAAAATTGTTTCTGTCATTTGGGAGTTGTAGTTGCTGGGATTTATAGTTCACCTACAATCAAAGAGCATTTTGAACTCCACCAATGATGGAATTGAACCAATCTTAGCAGGTAGGACTCCCATAACCAACAGAAAACACTAGAAGGGTTTGGAGGGCATTGACCATGAGTTTGGGAGTTGTAGCTCATCTACATCCAGAGAGCACTGTGGACTAAAACAATGATGAATCTGGACCAAACTTGGCATAAATACTCAATATGCCCAAATGCAAACACTGATGGAGTTTGGGGGAAATAGACCTTGACATAGAATGAGGCCAAACTTCCCACACAGAACCCCCATGACCAACTGAAAATACTGTGTTTTCTGATGGTCTTTGGTGACCCCTCTTGAGTTTGGGAGTTGTAGTTCATCTACATCCAGAGAGCACTGTGGACTCAAACAATGATGGATCTGGACCAAACTTGGCACGAATCCTCAAGAGGCCCAAATATGAACACAGATGGAGTTTGGGGAAAATAGACCTTGACATAGAATGAGGCCAAACTTCCCACAGAGAACCCCCATGACCAACCGAAAATACTTTGTTTTCTGATGGTCTTTGGTGACCCCTCTTGAGTTTGGGAGTTGTAGTTCATCTACATCCAGAGAGCACTGTGGACTCAAACAATGATGGATCTGGACCAAACTTGGCACGAATTCACAGTATGCCAAATGTGAAAACTGGTAGAGTTTGGGGAAAATAGACCTTGACATTTGGCAAGGTGAACCTACCCTGAGTTGCAACACATAGAGCATTCTGAACCCCGCCAATGACAAAATTGGGTCAAACTTCCCACACAGAACCCCCATGACCAACAGAAAATACTTAAAGCCATTCAGTCCAACTCCCTTCACCAGGGCAGGGCAAGAAAACGTAATCAAAACCCTCCTGACAAAGAGCCATCCAGCCATAGATATAGATAGATCTATATCAGGGGTCCACAAACTTTTTAAATGGAGGGCCAGGTCACAGTCCCTCAAACTGTTGGAGGGCCGGATTATAATTTGAAAAAAACAGGAATGACTTCCTATGCACACTGCACATAACTTATTTGTTGTGCAAAAACACTTAAAAACAATACAATAATTAAAATGAAGAACAATTTTAACACATATAAATTTATTAGTATTTCAATGGGAAGTATGGGCCTGCTTTTGGCTAATAAGATAGGATTATTGTTGTTGTTGTGAGCTTTCAAGTCGTTTCAGACTTAGGTTGACCCTGAGCGAGGGCCGGGTAAATGACCTTGGAGGGCCGTATCCAGCCCCTGGGCCTTAGTTTGAGGACCCCTGATCTATATGATTCACACACACACAGAGATATAGTATTCTAGATTTGAAAGGAACTCCTAAAGAAGGACAATGATATGTTGCATGTTCCAGAGGATGCAAACCAGACACTCTCCACATCAACACTGGCAAAAAAAAAAAAAAAAAAAAACCCAGCAAGAAATGCTGTTTACCCACAAGCAGAAAGACATTACAGTATATTCTGGCGTATAAGACTACTTTTTAACCCAAGAAAATCTTCTCAAAAGTCAGGGGTCGTCTTATACGCGGGTGTAGTCTTATGCGTGGGAGTCGTCTTAACTCTATATTTTAACTGGAAAAGTTGGGGGTCGTCTTATACGCCCAGTCGTCTTATATGCCGGAATATACGGTACTTATATTAGAAACCAACACTTTCTCATTACTTTAATTTCCAGATCACCAGACTGGGCCACAGCAACGCCTAGCAGGGGATGGCTAGTGTATATATAATACCTATTAACCATGCAAAAAATAAATATATAAATTCAGTATACATTTCAGACTGGTTAAGATTTCCAGTTGCCATGCTTTGGAGCCAGAATGGGATGGTCTGTAGGTTCCAACTAGGTGATGCTAAGTGAGGACTACATAGACCATGTTCTGTGTGATTAATGTTTCTCGGTTGCATTTGGCTAGTCTTCACTCTTGATTGATGTCCTTCAATCAGTCTCCATTTGGGAAAAAAGCTCTTTTAGTGTTCATTGCAAAGGGGAGGAAAGTGTAGCTCCCAACTCCCCCAATATCTGAACACTATTAAAAAAATATTCTGGAGTGATTATTTAAACACCCCAGCAAAAAATCACACACAGACACACCCAAAAATGTCACAAGAAGAGTCATGAGGCCCCTTAGACACTCTTCTATTCGGATTATCTTTAGTTGTAATGAGGGATTGTGGTCCACTGGGGATCTTCAGGGGTAAAAACATAGACTTTGGCGCCAAAATAACAACAACAACAACAACTTTATTTATACAACAACAACAACTTTATTTATACCCCGCTCCATCTCCCCCAAGGGGACTCGGTGCGGCTTACATGAGTCCATGCCCATCACAAAAATATTACACAAGAACATAATAAAACCAAAAATAATAATAAAATAAAATACATAAATGCAAAACAATATAATAGCAACACAACAATATAAAATCAGACATTAAAACACAAAAGATTTTGCTGGGCAGGGCCAAATTCAGGATAAAATTTGAAAACACTGGGAGATAGGGCAATGTCAACTATAGTTGCTCACCCCTGTTTTATTGCTGTGTTGGTGTTTCTTAGTCAGGTTTCCTTCCACATTAGTTTTAGCAGATATGGCATAACAGAATGGACATATTCCACATGCCCGACTCCTTTGTCTGCTTCTCGATGGGAGTAACGTTAAGTCAATCGTTCCCAAACTTTGGATTCTAGAAATTTTGAATTTCAATGGCTGGTGCTCCGGGTTTCCAAGCTATCTGATATAGTTGAAGATTACAAAGAGCTACGCTAAAGATCTGTGTTTGCAGCCAGCAAATTTAGGTAGTCAGAAAAGGATACAGATAGGAAGGAAGACATGTTAAAAACATGGTGACCTGACACCATTTTATAGCTGACACCTCCAGGTGTTTGGGACTCCAACTCTCAGAAGCCCTGGCCAGCTCACCTAATGGTCAGGAATTCTGGGAACTGAAGTCCCAGATATCTAGAAGTCCACATATTGAGCTCCACTGTCTTAAGAGTCATTGCTGTTGGGTTTTGTGTGTGTGGAATTGACCGGTTCCTTGCAGATTTAAGTCTCTGCAAATTCAAAGTGGCCTTTTCCTTATTTCTTGAGACTCCACAAAGACAACAAACCTGCCATTTCAGAACCATTCAGAAGACAATTTTGTACTTAAATGATCACCTGAAAGTTGTTGGGCAAGAGTGCTTATTAACAAAAGACCCTCATAAATATACAGCTGAGTAACTTATTAGCAGCAGCGTGACCCAGCACCAGTGGCCCAAAGTGATAAAAAGAACAAAAACACACAGGCCAGTGTTATCTGTTTCATAGGAGGCTTTTTATAGTGAAATAATATGGTTGCACTATTTACAAGAACAAAGTTTCCATAACACAAAGTTCTTTACACTTCCTTCTTTGCTTCCACGCTGGGTTTCTTTCTCATCCAGATAAACAGCTTTGCTCTCACAGAACCTCTTCTCACACCAATGTTACACATGAGCTTCACACAGTAGCTTTAAACAGCAGCCTTCACACACGATGGCCTTCAACCTGGGGCTTCCTGTCACCGAAGCTTCTCACACCAGGCCTTCTCATATTGAGGCCTTCTCACACTGAGGGCTCTCTCAAACTGAGGCCTTTATCCCACCGAGGAAAACAAACACTGAGGCCTTCTCGTATTTAAGCCTATTAACACACTGAGGCCTTTCTCTCACAGAGACCTCTCACCAAACCGTCTCACACCAGGGCTTCTCATACTGAGGCCATTTCCCCAATTAGGCCTTCTCACACTGAGGGCTCTCTCAAACTGAGGCCTTTATCCCACGGAGGCAAGCACTGAGGCCTTCTCATACTGAGGCCTATTAACACACTGAGGCCTTTCTCCCACAGAGACCTCTCACCGAACCTTCTCACACCAGGCCTTCTCATGCTGAGGCCTTTTTCCCACTGAGGCCTTCTCACACTGAGGGCTCTCTCAAACTGAGGCTTCTCATATTGAAGCCTATTAACACACTGAGGCCTTTCCCACGGAGGCAAACAAACACTGAGGCCTTCTCGTATTGAAGCCTATTAACACACTGAGACCTTTCTCCCACAGAGACCTCACCGAACCTTTTCACACCAGGCCTTCGCATACTGAGGCCTTTTTCCCACTGAGGCCTTTTCACACTGAGGGCTCTCTCAAACTGAGGCCTTTATCCCACGGAGGCAAGCACTGAGGCCTTCTCATACTGAGGCCTATTAACACACTGAGGCCTTTCTCCCACAGAGACCTCTCACCGAACCTTCTCACACCAGGCCTTCTCATACTGAGGCCTTTTTCCCACTGAGGCCTTCTCACACTGAGGGCTCTCTCAAACTGAGGCTTCTCATATTGAAGCCTATTAACACACTGAGGCCTTTCCCACGGAGGCAAACAAACACTGAGGCCTTCTCGTATTGAAGCCTATTAACACACTGAGACCTTTCTCTCACAGAGACCTCTCACCAAACCTTCTCACACCAGGCCTTCTCATACTGTGGCCTATTTCCCTATTAGGCCTTCTCACACTGAGGGCTCTCTCAAACTGAGGCCTTTATCCCATGGAGGCAAACAAACACTGAGGCCTATTAACACACTGAGGCCTTTCTTCCACAGAGACCTCTCACTGAACCTTCTCACACCAGGCCTTCGCATACTGAGGCCTTTTTCCTAATGAACCTTCTTACACTGAGGGCTCTCTCAAACTGAGGCCTTCTCATACTGAGGCCTATAACACACTGAGGCCTTTCTCCCACAGAGACCTCTCACTGAACCTTCTCACACCAGGCCTTCTCATACTGAGGCCTTTTTCCCACTGAGGCCTTCTCACACTGAGGGCTCTCTCAAACTGAGGCCTTTATCACACTGAGGCCTTTCTCTCACAGAGACCTCTCACAGACTCAGGCTGCTAAGCTCCAGGCACACCTCCTTATATTGAGCTGCAGCATTTGCAGAGTCATTGCATTCATTTAACACTTTCAATGCTTGACTTGCATTTTTGTCATTAAAAATACCTAGTTAATACTTAATATTTTTGACAAAAGTTACATTCTCTTTGGAACTGCTAAGGGTGGGGCGAGTGGCTCTGGGGAGCTGCCAAAGCAAGGGAACCTGCCTGCCCCAACCCACTGCCTTTGCTTCCACTTGATGGAAAGCATTCGTATTTGTTGTAGTCAAATTTGATGGCAGTGAAGACCACCTAGGAAAGGAAAACCCATGTATTCATTTCCTGTATTATTTTTTTGGTGGGAGCAAAAAAGTATATCCACGAGATCCGTGTAGATTGTAATTATACATGACATTGGTCGCAAGGACTTCTGGTGGTCTTGCTACCTCAAGTCTGTCCGAAGTGTCCCTGCACACTTCTGGAAGCATGTCCAAATTAGAAATTTAGCTCTATTCAGTTTGTGAAGATAGTATATCCTCTCTGGCTATTTTAAATTCTCTAAATATGTTTAGAACTGGTGTCCTTACTAGACAACTAGATGGGTTCTTTACCTTGTTTCTTTGGTTTTGTGGGTCTCCATCACTTGAGACAAACAGAATTATTTTGAGCCCTCTTTCCTGCTTAGCTTCAGCAAATCTAATGCATCACAAGAGCCAAGTTTTCCTTGCTTAGCATTGAAGATTTTGTGTGGTCCTCTCTGTTTGGGTTTTGGTTTTGTTTTGTTTTGTTTTGCTTTAGTTTTCACATCTTTTTGGCGTTCTACCATGCTTGGGCATTGTTTCAATGACGGGGGCTGTATTTCCTCTGCAGTCGTGTTTATGCTTTTCAGAATTAATTGGGGGATTTTTAAAATGAACGGGAAATCCAAACGATAAGGCTTCATTGCACTTTGCGGCAGAGGAAATATAGTAATCATGTTGTTGATGTTTACATTGATTTTGGAACTCTGTTACAATAATTGAAATTACAGTTTTCAAAGTCTATAGGTAGACCAGATTTTCTGATGCCATTTTATTTATTTTTTTGGAAAAGCAATAATCCAAATTTCTTTGGGATTTTAAAAGGGTTTAAGAAAGGGCTATTTAGAAAATTTTGAGCAATTTTCCTGCAGAAGTTGAAATCTCTAACTTTTTATTTCTAATGTTGCTAAGAGGTTGCTAAAAAGTGATAGTCCTTACACCCAACTATGAGAGGCATTCATTAAAGATTTCCCCTGACCCACTTCCTGTGGACTGAGAGCAATGAAACTTGGCCCAGTTCTGACTCCTTCTTTCCATGGGTGCCACCATCGAGGGACACACACTCTTCCCACCTTTTGAAGCAACTGTAAACACCTCTCTTGGAGAAGTTGACAGGTTGCTCCAAAAGCCATGTTGTGACTTCGGAAATCAGACTTGCATTATCTGAAAAATGCTTGCCCTTCCAAAATAATTTCCTTGTTGGAAAGAGGTAGAAGTCTGATGGTGCGAAGTCAGGTGGATAAGGAGGATGTGGGACAATTTCAAAGCCACCGGAGCATGCTTCTTCCATTTGAGTAACATGGGAGTTGTGAACTGGTGCATTGTCTTGCAGAAGGCAGAGGACACCTTTGGGGAGCATGCCACATTGTCTCTTGCTTTGGATGGCCTCCCACAATTTCCACAGCCATGAAGCCTAGTCTGCCCCAGGGATCCTGGTCCCCTTTACTAGGAAATCCATTCATACTTCTCCGTTCTGGTCCCAAAATTCTGTGAGGACAACCTTGCCTGCCAAAAATTGAGCACGTGCCTTCTTTGGAGGTGGCGAGGCACAAGGCTTCCATGGCATCGACTGGACTTGAGTCTCAGCATCAGAGTGGTGGACCCAGTTTTCCTCCTGTGTGATCAGTCTGTTGAAAAAGTCCTGGCTTCCATGGCACATCATCATCAAGAGAGCCTGAGAGCATTCGACTCGTTCCTGGTTCCAGAAAAGTGTGAGCAGCCAGGGGACTCAGCGAGCGAAGACCTGATGCATTTGAAGATAGTCTTGGATGATTGTTTCCACAAACCCCACACTAATCTTGACATTATGGACTAGGTGGCAAATGTTTATGCTGAGATTTTCCAAAATTGCAACCTCCACTTGCTGGATGGTGTGTTCCTCAATAGCAGAGTGGGGTCGCTCTGGAATTAGAGCTATTTCCACCAAAATCTGACCACATTTATTTATTTATTTATTTATTTACAGCTTTTATATTCCGCCCTTCTCACCCCGCAGGGGACTCAGGGCGGATTACAGTGTACACATATATGGCAAACATTCAATGCCAATTTTTGACATACAACATATACAGACATAGACAGAGGCTATTTAACTTTTTCTGGCCACCAGGGGAGCTGTCGCTTTCATCGTCCATCTGCGACACTGATGAAGTACTTCCGCATTCCCCACATGCTTTTGCTGGAGTCTTTTTTATGGCCTCATAAATTAGTTAATTTAGCCTCCCCACACTTTAAGGTGGTACCTTATTTTCCTACTTGACAGATGCAACTGTCTTTCGGGTTGCAAAGGTCGACAACAGGCTACACAATTGGTTGGAACCCACTCCAACCCGGGCTGGCTTCGAACTCATGACCTTTTGGTCAGAGTGATCTTAATGCAGCTGACACTCAGCCAGCTGCGCCACAATCCCGGTGCATTGGAATTGACGATGCCAGAACTTGACTACACTGTATGATGGGGAATCATCACCACAACCTTCTTTCATTTCATCGAATGTCTCCTTTGGTGTGCGGTCTTTCAAGGAAAGGAACTTGGTGACTGCTCTGTACTCCACTGGGTCCATTCTCCAACCTCACTCCACTTCCGCACCTGTAACATCAAGACCGTTCTCAGTTCTGAGTTGTCAATTGGCACGTCACCTATAGAGAACAACCACCATGTCAGACTACACAGAGAAGCCATTGAAATACACAAGAAGCATGTGGACAATTTCAACAGAAAGGAGGAAACCATGAAAATGAACAAAATCTGGCTACCAGGTATATAAAAAACTCCAAAATTACAACAGCAAAACAACAGAGGGAAAACAATTTGTGACATCTAATTACCTCTCAACAAAAGGTTTCCCCAGGCACTAACAAGCCACACCAAACAACTGCCAGGCCAGCAAATGCTAATAAAGGTGGTCAGTTGAAACATTCCCTCCTAGCTCCAGCAGACAGGAGTCCTTTGTCCTACCCTGGTCATTCCACAGATTTATAAATCCATTTTCCTAGTTCTAACAGACCTCACCACCTCTGAGGATGCTTGCCATAGATGCAGGCGAAACGTCAGGAGAGAATGCCTCTAGAACATGGCCATATAGCCCGAAAAAACCTACAACAACCCAGTGATTCCGGCCATGAAAGCCTTTGACAATTCACCATAGAGACTTAGCTCATTACACATGTGCAGTTTCAGCGTCCGGTGATAAATAGAAATGGGTCAGAGGAAATCTTTAATGAACGCCCCTCATACAGTTAATATTTCATCGAATAAATATTCAACAAGGGTGAAATCGCTGTCTTGATGCAAAAGACAGACGCCTGATGCAGATGTCATGTTCCTCATCTCTTAACTTCACTTGTACACTCTTGTTGGAAACGTTCCATCACTAGCGATAAAGACATTAAAATGTGGCTTGCTCTGAAATGCGGAGAAAACGTTGCATGTATGAAGGTGTCCAAGTGGCCATAGCCTGGTCTGTGCTTGGAGAGATGGGGAACTGTTGCATCTGCATAGGCCACTAAGGGTGATAAACAGCTGGCAAACATTGCGGACTGTTCCGTGATGTTTGAAGCAGGAAAAAAAAATGATCAACCTATAGGCTGCTTTGGTACACTAACTGGCTGCTAAGGGATCTGGTCATAGCAACGCAGGTTCAAAACACATTTTTGACATTTAAACTACCTGAAAGAGGGTCAGTCTTAATATTTATTGCCAGTTTTTGGAAACCAGGTCCAATTCACCAGTTGGACGGTGTGATCCAAATCACTCAAATTGATTAGCATTGTTACCTGACTTGGGTTTTGCGTTGGATTAATCTTGTACATTCCCGGTGGTTGTGTTTCGATCCCGCCTTGTGACTCTGACTAGATCCTTTATGCCGTTTGTACTGAATAAAATGGTAAACCTGCGGATATTTTCAGTTTTGGAAAATGCAGAGCTGGAGAAACATGTCTTCCGCCAGAGACCTGAAACTATAAAGTGAGCCGTGTTGTTTGTTTAAAGGTGGGAAACTGTTGTGCTGTGAATCATGCCCAGCGTCCTTCCACCCGGAATGTCTTCACATAGAGATGCCAAACGGCTCCTGGAATTGCAATGACTGTAAAGCTGGCAAGAAGCTGCGATACAAGCAGATTGTGTGGGTCAAGCTTGGAAATTACAGGCAAGTGAAGACCAAGAACAAAAATAATGTTTGTGATTGCACCGGTTACTCTTCTTATGCATTTGTATAGAATTGCTATCAATTTCTGTTTGTTTCATTCGTAAGGCTCCGTTTTCATTTTTGAGCACCTCTCCCTCAAACGGGCATCTTTCCAAATGAGCCTTTCTGTCCCAGGTCCAAAAAAACTGAATATTTTTGTCCCATTGGCGGCAATGGGAAGGTTTCCCATGCTCCCCTTCCCCTCAGTTTTAGGGCTAGAGCAGTGAGATTAGCAGGCTCTGCCTCCATTTCTCCCTGCTGTTTCCTCCAATCAGAAAACCTACCTTGCAGCACTGCTGAGATCCCTTCGTCAGAGATGGTGGGATTGTTGGTATGGGGCTGGAATGCGCCACGCATTCTGGCGGCTTGCCAGGGCCCAAAAGCGTTGCCAGGGCCTGCAGCCAAGCGCCTCCTGCTCATTGCTTGGCTGCAGGACAGGCCCTGGCAGGCACTGGTGCTCTGGGACTGCAGGCCACATGCACACACTCTTTCCAAGTGCATGTGTGGCATGTAGGCCCAAAGTGCCAGAACGTGCCAGGGCCTGCAGCCGAGTGCCTCCTGCTCATTGCTCAGGTGCAGGACACGCCCTAGCAGGCATTGGTGCTCTGAGTCGGCAGGCCACATACACACACTCATTCCAAGGAGAGTGCATGTGTGGCGTGTAGGCCCAAAGTGCCAGCACGTGCCAGGGCCTGCAGCCGAGTGCCTCCTGCTCATTGCTCAGGTGCAGGACACGCCCTGGCAGGCACTGGTGCTCTGAGTCGGCAGGTCACATACACACACTCTTTCCAAGGAGACTGCATGTGTGGCGTGTAGCCCAAAGTGCCAGCACGTGCCAGGGCCTGCAGCTGAGAGACTCCTGCTTATTGTTCGACTGCAGGACAGGCCCTGGCAGGCACTGGTGCTCTGGGTATGCAGGCTACATACACACACTCTTTCCAAGGAGACTGCATGTGTGGCGTGTAGCCCAAAGTGCCAGCACGTGCCAGGGCCTGCAGCCGATCACCTCCTGCTCATTGCTCAGCTACAGGACAGGCCCTGGCAGACACTTGTGCTTTGGGTCTGCAGGCCACATACACACACTCTTTCCAAGGAGAGTGCATGCGTGGCGTGTTGGCCTAAAGTGCCAGCACGTGCCAGGGCCTGCAGCCGATCACCAGTGTTTGTGTGGCCTGCAGGCCCAAAGCACCAGTTCCTGCAGTGAACGCTGCGTAAGAGGTATTCGGCTGCAAGTCCTGGCAGGCGTGGGTACTTTGGGCCTGCATGCTACACGTGCACTCTCTTTCCAAGAAGAGTGCATGTTTGGCGTGTAGGCCCAAAGTGCCAGCGCCTTCCAGGGCCAGCAGCCAAGCGCCAAAAATCAGGCAACCAAACGGTTACCCTGTGCGTTTGTGGCCTTTCCTTCGTTTCACTAATATTTCCGTACCGGAGGGGGGCGTACTGTTTCATGCCATCCGAATGAAACAAACTGTATGAAAGCACAAAATAAACAGATGAAACGGTAACTGGGCCCATGACTACCAGTTACTGCTGTTGGCGTTAGAGAACAAGTCTTCTTCCATGGATAGAAGAGCCCCTTTGTTATGGAGTCCAATAAAACTCCCACTGAAGGGAAAGGGTCATTTTTGCAGGTTTTTCATTCCCCTGACCTCTTCTTTTTAATTTTATTTTACTTTTTGCTGAGAGCCTTCCAACCTTTTGAAGGGGGTGCCGAGAGAGAGATGGGGAGAATTGCTTTCCCCCTTCTTGGGCGAATGGGGGCATCCCATGCAGAGAACTCAGATTAAAGTAAATAGTCAGCTCTCCACATTCCTTCTGTTATGGGTGGAGGATCCCTGAAAAAGTTAAAAAATATGAACTAAAAATGCTGTATGTTTGTTGTTTTTAACTTCTCAGAAATCTCTGTAGTTTTTCTAGCACATCATTGTGGTTGACATATCACAAACAATAAGTAGCCAGAATGATTAGTAAAAGCTCTTCCATGTTTACTAACTTTGTTTGATTTATTTCCAAGGCTGAATTCTAGCATTCCGTCTCTGTTTTCAGAGGTTCGTTGAACGTGGCCTTGGAGTAGATCCCCCGAGAGGTCCCTCAAAACGAACAGAGCTAAAAACGTGAATGAGTTAGTCACCTGTGTTTCACAAATTGGTGTCTGCTCCCCCCGCTGATCTCTCTCCGTCCTTTTTAGGTGGTGGCCAGCTGAGATCTGCAACCCCAGGTCGGTTCCTCTCAACATACAGGGCCTCAAACACGATATCGGGGACTTTCCTGTTTTTTTCTTTGGTTCACATGACTACTATTGGGTACATCAGGGCAGAGTCTTCCCTTACGTTGAAGGAGACAAAAGCTTTGCGGAAGGGCAAACTAACATTAACAAGACCTTCAAGAAAGGTAACAACTCAATAGAATGTCTGGTGGTTTCATGACAAAAGCTCCACATTTTCTGTGTCTGCATGACTTACTAACTAACGGCAATTAAATGTTTCCATGCCTAAAATATTCCCCAGATTTTCCATGTTAACAATATCTTTCAAGTAGCAATCTAGGGTGAAATGCCACAACATTTAAGCTCATTTGCATTAGTACAGTTGTATATACATCAATTTATTATGATACTAGCTGTGCCCTGCCACGCGTTGCTGTGGCCTATAGTAAAACTTATCAAAGTTGAGGTAGATATCTGGACTATTATGAAAGAGAGGTACCTACCTATTCCTTCCCCCTTTTCCTCCCCCTTTCTCTCCTTTCTTCCTTCTCTACCTCTTTCTTTCTTTCCTTCTTTCACTACTTGGTTTCATCCTTCTCTCTTTCCTTCATTCCCTCCCCCTTTCTTCCTTTGCCTTTCTTCCCTCCCTGTTTGCTTCCTTCTTTCTCTTTTTATTTCCTTTTATTTCACCACCATCATAACAATAACAATAATGCAGTGCATTGCCTCTGGGACCTGACACCTCTCCCATTCCCCCTAAAAGGGTCTCATAGGAACAATAGCATAATAATAATAGAAATAACAACCTTTACCCGCCACGTGTTGCTGTGGCCAACCTTCCCTCTTTCTCTCCTTCTTTCCCTCCTTCCTTCCTTCCCTCCCATCTTTCCTTCTCCTCTTCCTTCTCTATCTCTTTCCTTCCTTCCCCCTTTTTCTTTCTCTTCTGGTCTTTTCTTCCTTCTCTCTTTCCTTCTTTCCTTCCCTCCCTCTTTCTCTACATCTTCCCCCTTCCTTCACTCCCTCTTTCCTTCCTTCATGCCCTTTTTTCTTTCCTTCTCTCCTTCCTTCCTTCCCCCTTGCGTGTGTGTGTGCGGCAGTGGGGGGGAGTGATGGAGCGTGGGGTATATATGTGTGCAGCGGCGGGGGGAGTGAGGGTGGGGTTGCGTGTGTGTGTGCGGGCGGGGGAGTGATGGAGCGTGGGGTTGCGTGTGTGTGTGCGGCGGGGGGAGTGGGGTTGCGTGTGTGTGTGGGGCGGGGGGAGTCATGATGGGTTGCATGTGTGTGTGTGGCGGCGGGGAGTGATGGAGCGTGGGGTTGCGTGTGTGTGTGCGGCGGGGAGTGATGGAGCGTGGGGTTGCGTGTGTGTGTGCGGCTGCGGGGGGAGTGATGGAGCGTGGGGTTTGTGTGTGTGTGTGCGGCGGGGGTGATGGAGCGTGGGGTTGCGTGTGTGTGTGCGGCGGGGGGAGTGATGGAGCGTGGGGTTGCGTGTGTGGCGGCGGGGGAGTGGGGTTGCGTGTGTGTGTGCGGCGGCGGGGGAGTGATGGAGCGTGGGGTTGCGTGTGTGTGTGCGGCGGCGGGGGAGTGATGGAGCGTGGGGTTGCGTGTGTGTGTGCGGCGGGGGGAGTGATGGAGCGTGGGGTTGCGTGTGTGTGTGCGGCGGCGGGGGGAGTGATGGAGCGTGGGGTTGCGTGTGTGTGTGCGGCGGCGGGGGGAGTGATGGAGCATGTGTGTGTGCGGCGGCGGGGGAGTGATGGAGTGTGGGGTTGCGTGTGTGTGTGTGGCGCGGGAGTGATGGAGCGTGGGGTTGCGTGTGTGTGTGCGGCGGCAGGGGGAGTGATGGAGCGTGGGGTTGCGTGTGTGTGCGGCGGAGGGGGGAGTGATGGGAGCATGTGTGTGTGCGGCGGCGGGGAGTGATGGAGCGTGGGGTTGCGTGTGTGCGGCGGCGGGGGGAGTGATGGAGCGTGGGGTTGCGTGTGTGTGTGCGGCGGCGGGGGAGTGATGGAGCGTGGGGTTGCGTGTGTGTGCGGCGGCGGGGGGAGTGATGGAGCGTGGGGTTGCGTGTGTGTGTGCGGCGGCGGGGGGAGTGATGGAGCGTGGGGTTGTGTGTGTGCGTGCAGCAGGGTGTGTGTGTGTGCGGGAAGCGTCGTGGCGGTGCTTGGAGTGGGCATGGCTTCCGCAGAGGGAACGTTGGCCGGAAGGCTGTGTGTGCGCCCAGGGAACTTGCGGCTGGGCGCCAATGCGCATGCTCAGTTGTTTTGCCGTATTGTGAGTGTGTTGTTGTGTTGTTTTTCATTTTGAGTAGATATGTTTGTACCTTGTTGGTTGTGTTATGGGCATGGGAATTTTGGTTAAGTTTCGTTGGTTTTTTTTTAATTTTGTTGTTTTGCCGTTTTGTGAGTGTGTTGTTGTGTTGTTTTTCATTTTGAGTAGATATGTTTGTACCTTGTGGGTTGTGTTATGGGCATGGGAATTTTGGTTAAGTTTCGTTGGGGTTTTTGAGTTTTGTTGTTTTGCCGTTTTGTGAGTGTGTTGTTGTGTTGTTTTTCTTTTGAGTAGATATGTTTGTACCTTGTGGGTTGTGTTATGGGCATGGGAATTTTGGTTAAGTTTCGTTGGGAGGTTGTGGAGTTTTGCTGTCCCGTTGAACCAACCTAACAGATTTATATATATAGATAATACATTCAATCTCTAAGCATTGCTTGGAACAGCTTTGTTGTTTCTCACCAGATCTTACCTATCTGTCAAGTGCTTTTCTACATTCTAGCCTTAACTCCTTCTCATGTTTTTGATTCTTCTCAAACAGCACTCGAAGAAGCAGCAAAACGCTTCCAGGAACTCAAAGCACAAAGAGAAAGCAAAGAAGCACTTGAGATTGAGCGGAATTCCAGAAAGCCGCCGCCCTATAAACATATTAAAGTAAGTTTTCCTCTATTATTATTATTATTATTATTATTATTATTATTATTATCTCTTTATTATCTCCTTATCAGAGATCCAGGATATCTGCATGCCCATCCCCCTCCAAACACCTACCCTTTTCACCTGGTCATGCGTAGCACTTTTTAATTTTAATTATTACATTTGGCCCTGCCACAGATTTTAATTGTGTCATGGTGTGTTGTTAATGCTATTGCCATGTTTTTGAGTTATTTTGCTGTATTGTTGTTGTTCTTACTGTTGTATTTGGGCTCGGCCTCTTGTAAGCCGCACCGAGTCCTCCGGGAGATGGTAGCGGGATACAAATAAAGGATTATTATTATCATTATTATTATTATTATTATTATTGGATACATAACAAGATTAGTACACAGCAAACAAGATTGCTATGCTGGCTTTTGTGTTTGATCACACGTCTGACACTTCCCAATACAGTTGCTACTACTACTACTACTACTACTACTACTACTACTAGCTTGATTACCCAATTCATTTTTTATTTTACAAAATGAATAAGGTTGTGGGTGAACTACAATTCACATCAAGCCAGGTTCACCCCTGATACTCCATTACTATGTAAAGTTTGTCGTGTTGGGCAAGTTTGCTCTGGGTGCATCATCAGTGGGGTTCAGTGTGCTCTCTGGCTGCAGGATGAATTACAACTCCCACCATGGTGGGTCAGTCCCATCAAATCCCTCCAGTTCATGCAGTTGGGGGTTCTGTGTGCCAAGTTAGGTCCAGGTCCATTATCGGTGGGGTGCAGAGTACTCTTATATTGGGGAACTATAAATCCCAATAATTACAACAGCTATAAGTCAAGGTGAATGCCCCCACCAAACCTCTCCAGTATTTTTCTTTGGACAAGGGGGTTCTGTGTGCCAAATGTGGTTCAGGTCCATTGTCAGTGGGGGTCACAGTGCTCTGACTCAATGCAGGGTGAACTACAACTTCCATCATGTTGAAGAGAAATGTTGACAGGCTGGAATGTGTCCAGAGGAGGGCAACTCAAATGATCAAGGGTCGGGAGAACAAGCCCTATGAGGAGCAGCTTAAGGAGCCAGGCATGTTTAGCCTGAATAAGAGACGGCTGAGAGGAGATATGATGAGAGCCATGGGTGAAGATGGGAGGGGAAGTCGTAGGAAGAGGGGAGCAAGCTTCCTTTCTGCTTCCCTGCAGACTAGGACGCAATGGGACAATGGCTTCAAAGTACAAGAGAGGAGATTCCACCTGAGGATGAGGAAGAACTTCCTGACTGTGAGAGTTGTTCAGCAGTGGAACTCTCTGCCCCGGAGTGTGGTGGAGCCTCCTTCTATGGAGGCTTTTAAGCAGAGGCTGGATGGCCATCTGTCAGGGGTGATTTGAATGCAATTTTCCTGTTTCTTGGCAGAATGGGGTTGGACTGGATGGCCCATGAGGTCTCTTCCAACTCTAAGATTCTATGATTCTGTGAGTCAATTCCCCCAACTCCTCCAGTATGATTAGTGGCTGATTAGTTTTGCTCTGTTTGTTGTGCAAAGTTGAAAAGAGTAGGAAAGGGTTAAGGGAGAGGTGGAGGGCGGAATCACACAAATTCCACACCAGTTGAGAGTGTACGAAACAATGGGATGTCTGTGGTGGAGGAAACACATAAAATCTAGGCTGAAACTGTCCCCAAATGAAAGCATTCCTTGGGTGGTGGGCAGTATAGTGTTTGTGCAGGACATTGGCAGGGGTTGGGCTACATGCTCATGGTGCTTGCTATATTTTGAAATGTCATGGGGTGGGGGACGACTCTCTACCTCCTTTTTCATGCTGGAGTTGTGTGCCCTTAGAACTGAGATGACCACAAGAACGCTATAGCTTCAAATCTTCTGAAAAGTGATCTTTTCAACTGAGAGTTGAGGAAAGTTGTGAGTTTGATGATGCCCCTATGAGCTAATGCTGTGCTGCATCACATGGAGTAGGAAATAGGAGTTTTTCATCACTTCTTTATTCTCTTTTCCGTAGTCCAATAAAGTCGTAGGGAAGGTTCAGATTCAAGTTGCGGACTTATCGGAAATCCCACGGTGCAATTGCAAGCCGTCGGATGAGAACCCCTGCGGGCTGGAGTCCGAATGCCTCAACCGGATGCTCCAGTACGAGTGCCACCCTCAGGTTTGCCCCGCAGGAGAGCGCTGCCAGAACCAGTGCTTCACCAAAAGGCTCTACCCAGAGGCAGAAATTATCAAGACCGACCGACGCGGCTGGGGCCTCCGGACAAAGCGGAACATTAAAAAGGTACCCCTTCAGATGACATCTTGGAACTTTGGCATGGAGGCTGGACCATGGCTGGTTTTTTTGCCCTGTTTTATCTTTCACTAGCTATACCTGCCACGCTTTGCTGTGACCAACCTTCCCTCCCTCTTTCTCCTCCTTTCTTTCTCTCCTTCCTTCCCTCCTTCCTTCCTTCCTTCCCTCCCTCCCTCTTTCTCCTCCTTTCCTTCCTTCCTTCCTTCCTTCCTTCCTTCCTTCCTTCCTTCCTCCTTCCTTCCTTCCTTCCTTCCTTCCTTCCTTCCTCCTCCCTCCTGCCCTCCCTCCCTCCCTCCCTCCCCCCTCTCTTTCTTCTTTCTTCCTTCTTTCTTCCTTCCTCCTCCCTCCTCCTCCCTCCCTCCCTTTCTTTCCTTCCTTCCTTCCTTCCCTCCCTCTTTCTCCCTTTCTTTCTCTCCTTCCTTCCTTCCTTCCTTCCTTCCTTCTTTCCTTCCTCCTCCTTCCTCCTCCTCCTCCCTCCCCTTTCTTTCTTCTTCCTTCCTTCCCTCTTTCTCCTCCTTTCTTTCTCTTCCTTTCTTCCTTTTTTCTTTCTTTCCTTCCTTCCTTCCTTCCCTCCCTCCTCTTTCTCCTTCTTTCTCCCCTTCCTTCCTTCTTCCTTCCTTCCTTCCTTCCATCCATCCATCCATCCATCCCTTCCTTCCCTCCCTCCCCCCCCTTCCCCCCCCCTCCCTCCCTTCCTTCCTCTTCCTTCCTTCTCCTCTTCCTTCCTTCCTTCCTTCCTTCCTTCCTCCTTCTTTCCTTCCTTCCCCTTCCCTCCCTCCCTCCTCTCTCTTTCTTTTTCCTTCCTTTTTTCTTTCTTTCTTTCCTTCCTTTCTTCCTTCCTTCTTCTCCTTCTTCCTCCTCCTCCCTTCCCTCCTCCCCCTTCCTTCCTTCCTTTCTTCCTTCCTTCCTTCCTTCCTTCTTTCTTCCTTCTTCCTCCCTTCCCCCTCCTCCCTCCTTCTCCTCATTCTTTCTCATTCCTTCCTTCCTTTGCTTCTTTCTTCTTCATTCCTTCTTCTTCCTTCCTTCCTTCCTTCCTTCCTTCCTTCCTTCCTTCTTCCCTCCCCTCCTCCCTCCCTCCCTCCCTCCCTCCCTCCCTCCCTCCCTCTTTCTCCTTTCTTTCTCTCCTTCCTTCCTTCCTTCCCTTTTTTTCTTTCCTTCCTTCTTTCCTTCCTTCTCTACCTCTTTCCTTCCTTCCCCTCCCTTTTTCTTTCTCTTTTTTCTTCCTTCTCTACCTATTCTTGGACTACAACTCTCAGGAGTCCTCCTGATGGATCTATCTACCTACTATCTATCCCCATCTAATCTCTATGTCTACCTATCTGGAGGATTGCTGGGAGTTGCAGTCCAGGAATAGGAAATTGGAAATATGCAGGGATTGGGATGCTCTCAAAGAAATCCAAGGAGAAGAAAGCTTTTGCAGCTTGGAAGCAGTGCATTTGGAGCATCCTCCTCTCCTAAAGGTCCTGGTCTAGGGGATGCTGGGAGCCATCGTTTTTGCATATGTGCTATATCGTCATTTAGCTTTTTTGTTTTTAAGTCCTTTCCACTGTTTTTTGGGAGGGGTTTATGAGTGATGGTCACTCATTGGTCTGTTAGGGGTGTAGTGTCCAAATTTGGTGTCAATTCGTCCAGTGTTTTTTGAGTTACGTTAATCCCACAAATGAACATTACATTTTTATTTATATAGACTAGCTATCCCCCTGCCACACGTTGCTGTGGCCCAGTCTGTGTATATGTGTTTTGTGTGTGTGTGTATGTGTGCGTATATATTTGTGTATGTGTGTTTGCTTGTGTGTGTGTATTGCACATGTATTGTAATTTAATTTTTGTTTTTTGGCTTTTTAAGTCTCTTCTGCTGTGCTTTCCAATGTTTTTATGAGTGATGGTTTCTCATTGGCCTGAGAGGTGTCTTGTGTCCAAATTTGTTGTCAATTCATCCAGTGGTTTTTGAGTTACACCCTATATTTTATTTATTTATTTATTTACTTTGCTTATATACCGCTGTATCTCAAGCCCGAAGGCGACTCACGGCGGTTCACAAACAGTAAAAACAGTAGAAACAGCAGTGGTTCCATACAACATATAACAATTGACTTAACACATTATCCATAAATTACCAATAAGCAGTTACAATGCACAATTATTACAAAAAAACAACCGTACCCAATCTTCTCATCATCCAAGCGTAGTCCAGGTTCGTCGTCCCTTGTTCCATTCCTATGTTCCATTACCAGATTGCACTAAATTACTCAAACGCCTGCACAAACATCCAGGTCTTCACCTTTTTGCGGAATACCATTAGAGATGGTGCTAGTCTAATGTCCGTAGGAAGGGCGTTCCACAGCCGAGGAGCCACCACCGAGAAGGCCCTATCTCTCGTCCCCGCCAGCCGAGCTTGAGAAGCAGGCGGATCGAGAGCAGGGTCTCCCCGGAAGATCTCAAAGTCCTGGTGGGTTCATAGGCAGAGATGCGGTCAGATAGGTAGCGTGGGCCGGAACCGTTTAGGGCTTTAAAGGAGCAGTAGTTCTATAATATACTAGCCATCCCCTGCCACGTGTTGCTGTGGCCCACATGGGGGTTCAGTGTGGGAGGTTTGGCCCAATTCTATCGTTGGTGGGGTTCAGAATGCTCTGTGATTGTAGGTGAACTATAAATCCCAGCAACTACAACTCCCAAATGTCAAGATTCTATTTTCCCCAAACTCCACCAGTGTTCACATTTGGGCATATTGAGTATTTGTGTAGAGTTTGGTCCAGATCCATCATTGTTTGAGTCCACAGTGATCTCTGGATGTAGTTGAACTACAACTCCAAAACCAAAGGACACTGCCCACCAAACCCTTCCAGTATTTTCTGTTGGTCATGGGAGAACTGTGTGCCAAGTTTGGTTCAATTCCATCGTTGGTGGGGTTCAGAATGCTCTTTGATTGTAGGTGAACTATAAATCCCAGCAACTACAACTCCCAAATGACAAAATCATTTTTTTGTGTGTGAGGAACATACATTGGGTTGTTAGGTGTCTTGTGTCCAAATTTGGTGTCAGTTCGCCCAGTGGTTTTTGTGTTCTGTTAATCCCACAAACGAACATGACATTGTTATTTATATAGATTAGTTAAAGACAACAACTATAGATTTTGAAACAACAGATGAAAACGAAGACTCCTTCAGAACACACAACATTCTTATGCATCTACTCGTTATTGTACAGTTGCCCCTCCATATTTTCTGGAATCGATGACTCACTATTTATTTATTTATTTACCTTACTTGTATACCGCAGTTTCTCAGCCTAACAGGCGACTCAACGCGGTTTACAACAAAGGTACAACAGTCAACAATATACAATTTAAAACCATAAAAGCATAATACACAATATTGACACAACAACCCAATGCATCTCATGACTAAAATCGTGATCCAGTTTCGTCGTCCATATTACCATTCCTGTAATCATCACATTCATTGCACCGATTAACCAAATGCCTGTTCGAACATCTAGGTTTTTAATCTTCTTCGGAACACCATCAGCAAGGGGGCTGATCTTACCTCCATGGGAAGGGCGTTCCATAGCCGAGGGGCCACCACAGAAAAGGCCCTGTCTCTCGTCCCCGCCAGCCGCACCTGTGAAGCAGGCGGGATAGAGAGCAGGGGCCCCCCCAGAAGATCTTAGGGTCCTGGTGGGCTGATAGGCAGAGATACGTTCGGATAGGTAGCTTGGGCCAGAACCGTTTAGGGCTTTAAAGGCCAATGCCAGCACTTTGAATTGAGCCCGGTAGCAGATCGGCAGCCAGTGGAGCTGGTGCAGCAGAGGAGTTGTATGCTCCCTGCGCACCGCTCCTGTTAGTATCATGGCTGCCGACCGTTGGACTAATTGGAGCTTCCGAGCCGTCTTCAAAGGCAACCCCACGTAGAGAGCGTTGCAGTAGTCTAAACGGGATGTAACCAGAGCGTGGACTACCGTGGCCAAGTCAGACTTCCCAAGGTACTAGGTCCCTCCAGTGCTGTTCTATGGTCAGCGTCCAGTGGCTGACCATAAGCCAAGGGGGGCGGGGGCGGGTTCAGCCCCAAAAAAGTGCTGAAAAACTCAGCTTATACTCGAGTATATACGGTAGTGTTAAGATGGGAAGAAACTGCACCTCCATTCATTTCTTCTGCAGCCCTGTGGCTGCATTCACTTGGCAAGATACCAAAACCAGTTAGTAATCCGTATACTTGCAACCTTAAATTACACAAACACTGTATTTATCCCTTTTACATTGATTCTTAGGAGGACAGAGATTTTTGTGAGTCCCAAGTCTCTAATATTCAACTCTAAAGCTCCCTTTGCCTCATTGCATTGACTGTCTTTTTACAACAACTTGTACCTTTGGAAGCTAATAATAATAATAATAATAATAATAATAATAATAATAATAATAATAATGTTACCACGTCATTGCTTTTCTTTCTGTTTCTTTCAGGGTGAATTTGTCAATGAGTATGTGGGTGAATTAATTGATGAGGAGGAATGTCGGTTGCGGATCAAACGGGCCCACGAGAACAGCGTGACTAATTTTTATATGTTAACTGTTACCAAGGTAAATGGAGAGCGATCGTATAATAATAATAATAATAATAATAATAATAATAATAATAATAAACAACTTTGGGTTGTTGTAGGTTTTCCAGGCTATATGGCCATGTTCTAGAGGCATTTTCTCCTGACGTTTCACCTGCATCTATGGCAAGCATCCTCAGAAGTAGTGAGGATGCTTGCCATAGATGCAGGCGAAACGTCAGGAGAAAATGTCTCTAGAACATGGCCATATAGCCCGGAAAACCTACAACAACCCAGTGATTCCGGCCATGAAAGCCTTCGGCAATACATAATAAACTTTATTTGTACCCCGCTCCATCTCCCCGATGGGGACTCGGTGCGGCTTACATGAGGCCAAGCCCAAAACAACAATTACATGAAATAAAACAAAACCGAAAACGCAAATAATAAACAATAATAACGCAATTACATAAAACAAAAGACAACATAGCAATATAAAATTACAATAAACACAATCACGGTAACATGGGCGAGCTACATGTAATGGATAAAAGAAAATTAGGTAGAAACAGATTAAAACCTCCAGCGAGATAAACAAGGACAGATTATTTCTGGAGGAGAGCTCGTTTTAGTGGAGGTCGTGGAGCAAAACTTTCCCATGGGGGGAATGCACTCCAATAACAAAAAAAACCATTAGACTAAACACTAGTATGAGGATGTAGATCTACTCATCAAATGCGCAGCAGAAGGGCCAGGTTTTGAGGTCCTTTTTAAAGGTTTCTAGGGAAGGAGCTTTCCTAATCTCTCCAGGGAGTGAGTTCCAGAGTTGGGGAGCCACAGAGGAGAAGGCTCTCTCCCTTGTACTCACCAAGTGAGTCTGGGAGACTGGCGGGGGCGAAAGAAGGGCCTCCCCAGAAGAACAGAGGGCCCGAGATGGTTCATGGAGAGAGATACGGTCACGCAGGTAGGCGGGTCCCAAACCGTTTAGGGCTTTATAGGTGATAACTTGCACCTTGAATTGGGACCGGAAAATAAACAGCAGCCAGTGGAGCTCCTTAAACAGGGGGGTTGACCGCTCCCTGTAAGTTGCCCCAGTTATTAGTCTGGCTGCTGAACGTTGGACAAGTTGTAATTTCCAGGCTGTCTTCAAGGGTAGCCCCACGTAGAGAGCATTACAGTAGTCCAATCTAGAGGTAACTAAGGCATGGACCACCATGGTCAAGCCAGACTTCACGAGGTAAGGTCGCAGTTGGCGCACAAGTTTTAACTGCGTGAAGACCCTCCTGGCCACCGCCGACACCTTTGTATATGTCCATGCGGATGCTTGTACGAGTGCAGTAAGCAGAGTGAGTAGATAATAGGTACCGCTGCGGCGGGAAGGTAATGGCGCTCCATGCAGCCATGCCGTCTAAATGACCTTGGAGGTGTCTACGGAGAACGCCGGCTCTTTGGCTTAGAAATGGAGATGAGTCCCACAGTTGGACACGACTGGACTTCATGTCAGGGGAAAACCTTTACCTTTATATAATAATAATAATAATAATAATAATAATAATAATACTTTTTTTATACCCCGCTCCATCTCCCCCAGGGGGACTTGGTGCGGCTTACACGAGGCCACGCCCATCAATACAGTACACACAATATAACACAAAAACATAGTAGCACCAAAAAAAAAACAAAAACATAAAATGCAAAACCAATATAATAAGCGACACTACAATATAAAATCACATTTACTAAGTGTCTGGCAGCATGAAATCTGTCAGAAGTACTGTGACTCTAGATTCTGTTTTTGCTGTCGTAAAGTCAAAGGTGGCCACTCTGTAAGATGAGTGCTTCAGTTCTGTCTTTCTCTTTGGTTGCCTTGAAGGACCGCATAATCGATGCCGGCCCAAAGGGGAATTACTCTCGCTTTATGAACCACAGCTGCCACCCCAACTGTGAGACCCAGAAGTGGACGGTGAACGGGGACGTCCGAGTTGGGCTCTTTGCTGTGTCCGATATTCCTGCAGGTAAACGTCTTTCCTGCATTTCTCTCTCTTCCTTTTCAAATTTAGACATGATAGAGGCAATCCAAGCCTCAGTGGCCCTGGGCTGGAAGGACCACAAGAAACGGGATATAAAAACTTGGTATAAATATCTAACTGATTACTTTCTCCAAGATTATATTAGCGAAAGGAAAAGTTACTATACGACGGGTCAAAGCAGATGGACATAGGAAGCAAAATGGATGGAAGGGTCTCATATACAGAAAAAAGGGGAAAGATAAATACACGGTGTTAAATAAGACTATTCTCATGATTGAACCATTGTAATAAACACAGCAAAAGTACTTAACTGTTCCTGGGCTGGGGAGGGGGGGGGGAGTGGGATTGGGGAAAATACTGGTATTTTGAATGTTAATTGCAAAGATGGTATGTTTCTATGTATTATACAATAAATTTTTTTGCCTACATCTATGGCAAATATCCTCAGAGGATTATTATTATTACTATTATTATTATTATTAACCCAATTTTCCTATGGATCCCCCGGTGGCGCAGTGGGTTAAACCCCTGTGCCAGCAGGACTGAAGACCGACAGGTCACAGGTTCAAATCCGGGGAGAGGCGGATGAGCTCCCTCTATCAGCTCCAGCTCCTAATGCGGGGACATGAGAGAAGCCTCCCACAAGGATGATAAAAAACATCTAATCATCTGGGCGTCCCCTGGGCAACGTCCTTGCAGACGGCCAATTCTCTCACACCAGAAGCGTCTTGCAGTTTCTCAGGTCACTACTGACACGACAAAAAAACAAAACACCCCCCCCCCCCCCCCCATTTTCCTAGTTTCCAACAAACCTCACAACCACTGAGGCTGCCTGCCACAGATGCAGGCAAAACATCAGGTGAGAATGCTTCTAGAACATGGCCATATATAGCCTGAAAAACCAACAACAACCCAGTGATTCCAGCCATGAAAGCCTTTGACAATACATTCTAGATTTTGTTTGAATGATCTAAGTATTGCATTGCTCTTCCTTAGGATTGCAATTGAATGATTTGGCTGCGGTAATGTACAAAAATTGTGGCAAAAATACTAGAGTTGAAAAAGACTCCAAGGGCCACCCAGTCCAACTCCCTTCTGCCATACAGGAACACACAATCAAAACACCCCCGACAGATGGCCATCCAGTCTCAGCTTAAAAACTTCTGGAGCAACTTTGAGAAACTTATTTTTTCCATGTGAAAAGGAATAGTGAATGATACCATGGCAAGGGTATGCTTTGACTACTAACGAAGAACTGTTTCCTTGGGTTGCTAAGGTTTTCCAGGCTGTAAGGTCATATTCCAAAAGCATTCCCTCCTGACGTTTCTCCCACCTCTCTGGCAGGCATCCTCAGAGGTTGTGAGGTCTGTTGGAAACTAGGAAAATGGGGTTTATAGATCTGTGAAATAATATCCAGGGTGGGAGAAAGAACTCTTGCCTGTTGGAGGGAAGTGTGACTGTTGCAGTTGATCACCACTGTTTTCACGTGGTGAGATGTTTTCCACCCTGGGCATGCGTATTCAGCAGCAGAGCAGCCAAGCACAAGGGCAGATGTCTTTGCTGTATCTGGTTGTGATCCCCAGGTTGTGCCAGTCAGCTTTTGTATGATATTATATGTGGCCCAGTCTGGTGATCTGGTTTCTAATATACGTAATTTCTTCATGCTTGTGAGTAAACAGTATTTCTTGCTATTTCTTTGTCAGTGTTGATGTGGAGATTGATTGGTTTGCAAGCTCTGAAGCATGCCACATATCATTGTCCTTCTTTAGGGGTCCCTTTCAAATCTAGGATACTATATCTGTGTGTGTGGGAATCATATCTATCTATATCTATCTATCTATCTATCTATCTATCTATCAATCTATTTATGGCTGAATGGCTCTTTGTCAGGAGGGCTTTGATTACCTTTTCTTGCCCTGGTGAAGGGAGTTGGATTGGATGGCCTTAAGTATTTTCTGTTGGTCATGCATAGGGGTTCTATGTGGGAAGTTTGCCCTGATTCTGTTGTTCGTGGGGTTCAGAATGCTCATTGATTGTAGGTGAAGTGTGAATCCCAGTGACTACAACTCCCAAATGTCAAGGTCTATTTCCCCCAAACTCCATCTGTGTTCATATCTGGGCGTATTGAGTACTCATGCCAAACTTTGGTCCATATCCATCATTGTTTGTGTCCACAGTGCTCTCTGGATGTAGGTGAACTACAACTCCCAAACTTAAGGTCAATGCCCACCAAACCCTTCTAGTATTTTCAGTTGGTCATGGGAGTTCTGTGTGCCAAGTTTGGTTCAATTCCATCATTGGTGGAGTTCAGAATGCACTTTGATTGTAGGTGAACTATAAATCCCAGCAACTACAACTCCTGAATGACAAAATAATAATTTTTTGAGTGACGGCCACTCCTTGGGTTGTGAGACATTTTGTTGCCAAATTTGGTGTCATTTCGTTCATTGGTTCTTTTGTTTTTAAGGTGCTCATTATGCACAGAGCAGTTTTATATATATACGTAGATTATTTCTAGCGCCCACTTTTGGCTTGATAGCCAAGCAGTGCTTTTTGTATTTCCAATTGAGCGGCATGCAGGAAAGGCGGGTGCTTTTGCTGCCATCCTAATCAAGGCAGGGAGTGGAAAAGTCAGCATCTGAATCCTACCAGACCAAATCCATCTTTCATCCTTTGCCTGAAGGACTCCTTTTGACCTTGACAAGCAAGGGAGTAGTCATGAACTTTGAATGTTTTGTATACCAAGCCAACCTTTTCACGATTTGACCTCAGTTGTTGCACCATAGAATCATAGAAT